AAGGAAGCAGCCGCCAAAGAGGCCGCTGCAAAGGAAGCAGCCGCCAAAGAGGCCGCTGCGAAGGAAGCAGCCGCCAAAGAGGCAGCTGCAAAGGAAGCAGCCGCCAAAGAGGCAACCGCCAAAGAGGCAGCAGCCAAAGAGGCAGCTGCAAAGGAAGCAGCCGCCAAGGAGGCAGCTGCCAAAGAAGCAGCTGCCAAAGAGGCAGCCAAAGAAGCGGCAACAATACCCAAGCACGACGTGGGTAGAAGAAGCAAAAGCCGCAGCCGAAGCAGGCAGGGCCCATGCTGCAAGTGATTCCGTGCGTGTTCAAAACTGTTCATCGTTCATCTAGGAACCGGAAGGAATCCAGCTTGGAAAGGAAGCCCGGGGCCCGAAAGCATTGCTTTCTTTGACAAGAATATATGTTTGAGACATGTGTGGAATCGAATTGGCTTGTGGGGTGTTCTGCATCGGTGTGGTTGTGTGTTTTGCATCGGTGCCTTTCTACAGAAACCTCAAAGCTTGACCTCTTTGAGGAGCCGTTCGACTCGTTTGCGGTGAAACGAACGCAAGACCTTGTGTTCATCCTGTAAGCCTAGGGATCCAAGTACCTTCTGAGAAGGTACTTGGACCCTCCAAACCTGCATAACTCTGTCTCCAATCACCTTCTGAGAAGGTACTTAGTACTTGGATCCCTAGGGTAAAATAGCTCACTCCAGGAACCAATCACACATGCCTGGCACGCATGCAGAACGGACGAGTCACTGGGCACCCTCCTGAAGATTCGGATCCCACCAACCAGGTGTCATAGGCGATGCCGATGCCATCCGTCGTTCGAAGCATAGCTCTCATTGAAATTCACACACACACAGACAGCTTCATTGGCGTGACTAGGAAATCGACCGTCACGCCCCCTGCATTCAAAACTCTTAGTTACAGAGGTTGACACCGGCTCTACCCAACTTCGTGGAACAGGGAACGACGGGAACGACTATACGCGTCGAGTCGCAACGTTGGTCGCACCGAGGCAGCGACCGAGTCGGGAACGAGCACGGCACTTGCTCCCCGAAGACCCTGCACGGTCCGGGGACTGTCGACGGTGGAGTGTAGAAAGGGGAAGTGGGAGGTCTGTGCTCAAAAGTCAATGTCAAAAGCATAGGATCTAGAATGATAGAAATTAGTCTTCTATTATATATAATTGGAATGAATTGACAAAGACAAAGATCTCAATGTTTACAGATGATGTTTACTCTGACTCACTATCAAAGAATCAGTTTCTCCCGCCGCCCCTTTCTTCGGTTCCTGGGCGCTCCCAACCAAATGGTACACCCAGACGCGACCCTGGACCCTCCTAAGTAGGGTCTGGACCCGAACCAATCCGGTCGAACGAGGGGGTCGGGCGTTTGCCTCGCGTTGGCGCACACGAGGCACAGGGTGGCAGCTCGACCGACCTCGTGGAAGGTGTGGTTCGGGACATCGTCTACCCAGCCAGAAAGGACCAAGAAAGGGGGTCTATATATTGGATATACACACCCACCCCATAGGATATACCCATTATACCCTCTGAGAAGGTCAGCCGTACCGAACCTGAGAAGGTATGTGGGATCCCTAGGGCACACACTGCTTGTGATCACCTAGGTCACAAGCCCCAGAGGAGAAGGCCTTGGATTCGGGCAAAAAAACGTCACCGGACGTGGGGAGAGGTGATTCGTGCAGAATGTCGCTGCTGTTCTCGGGTAGCCTTGCAAGTCGATATACAACTTTGGACACTCGGTCCATGGAGATCATGATTTGGTCGTAGGGCAAGTAAAGCGAGAATCTTGCTGCCTGCATGATAGCACTTGTTGTTCATATATACGCAACATAAACCAAAGAGTAAACCAAAGGTTTCGCATCGCTTGAAGATGTTTTAGTCTCGTTGGTCCTTCCGATATTACCGTTGGTCACCCTTGCCACTGGATACTCCATCACGACACCGGCGTTTCCGCCTCACGGTTCCGGCGTTTCCGGGTGCGTCACAGGCAGCGCCATCTCCGGAAAAGGTCGTTCAGGACACCGGTGAAGCTCCGATGTCCGAGCTGCGAGCGTTAGGTCCCGGAGCGTCCGAGCCCTGAGAGTCCCCCTGTGAGCTCCTGGCCGATCTATTGATGTGTGTAATTAAAGTTTACCAAGATAAATTGATAAATGGACAGTCAACTCCCTAAGAATCAAGGACCCTCAGTTCGGTGAAGGCTTTGAGGGTCCAAACCCCGGTCCAAAAGCCTCCATAGGACGAGGGTTCAATGATTCTTAGGGGATCGAACATGCTCTAAGGGAAATCGATGTAGGCATCCGCCAAAAAAATAACACCACTTGGTTCATCTTGGTTCGTTTCCATGTGGTGCTGGAACCTTGTCGGATGAGACTCCCTCCCTAAGAACAGTTTTCTCCTCTGACTCATCTCAGTCATATCTTGACAGCTCCTCCCTTGTCCCTTTGCTCCTCCCTGTTGAGTCCCTTGGCATTTCCTGGTGTCGACACCAAGACCTTAAGTTGACCTTCTTGACCGCAAAAGGGGTCCCTTTGTTTTCTTTTAAGCAGTATGTAAATGTCGACATGAATAAAGGATCTTGAACATGTTGACATTTACTCCAAGATGTGACCTTTCATGTGCGACCTGTGACACTGCAGACACCTCCGTCCTCCTCCCGTCCTCCGCTCCAGGCGGCCAAACGGCCCCTCGCGGAGGCGCGGCCCCTCGTTGCGCGCCCCGATCGACCGAACGAACGACGGCGGGAAACGCGTTGGACGGGAGATGAACGGAACCGGCCGTGTGGGGGGGTCCACCCATGACCACGGTGTGGTCACAAGCCCTAGGGCTCCTGTCTCACCTCCTGAGAAGATGGGCCAGGGGTGGGTGCCAGGGGGGTCGAACCACCTCCTGAGGATATGGTAGGAGCCCTAGGGAAGTATCGTTATAGGGTGGTGGAGCCCTTCAGATCCATTTTCGAACCTCAGAGTTGTGGGCGCCCCGCTTAGCGGCAGGTGCTACGCGCGTGGCGGTTGTGAAACGGTCCAGGTCAGAAGTGTCAGTGCTTTTAGTGCTTTGGGGATCAATTTTTTAGAGCTGTACTCATGACTGATGTAGAAGAACTCCAACTTTGCCGCAGCATCCAGCAGCTCAAAACTCTTGCAAGGCCGGCCGAAGCTCCCTTTTCTTTGACAGCGACTCAGTCATTTTCGCAGAACTGGAGGCATGTATTTGGACGATGTCATTGGACTGTAGATTCAGATGTATTTGGAATTATGTATGTATTTGGAGGACTGTATATTGGATCATGTCATTGGACTGTAGATGTGTTTGGATCATGTATACGGGTCATGTGTTTGGTTTATGTATATATATTTGGAGGACTGTATTTGGATCAGGGGCACTGTTAGCGCTCAGTCATTTTTGGTGAACAGACACTCTGCCCGTTCCCGTCTTTTCGTCCAGAACGCGTGTTTTATCACCGACCAAAAACACCAGAGACCGGAACTGTGGTTGACCCAATAAGAAATCAACATCGGCTTCGCTCCTGGTCCTCAATTTTTTTTTCTGTTTTGGAGGTCCAGATTGACCCCTTAAAACCTCATGCTGTTCATCGTGGTTTGTATGTTTTTGGTATGATCAACTCCTTAGCTTGAAATTTGAAGGATGGGTTGAAGACTTTCCCGAAAAGTTGTTGAAGCTGCGGCGGTCTAGCTATGGCTTTGATTTGCAAGTGCGTTCTTGTTGTGCTGGCTGCTGCTGCCCAGTCATCTAGCCCCCCTTGCCCGCGAGCAACTCAAGCCGCTGACAAAATTTTTGGCAGCAGCATCGTCGCTTGGTGCCTGCATTGCCCAGCCAGTGTCAGGCAAAGAGGATCGCCTGATGTTTGTCTTGACAGTTGGATGGCCGATTGTACGCAGCCATACGCAGCCGCATTTGTTCAGGCGTGGAGTGTTTTTGTTGAGTTTTCTCTTCACGCGGTCAGTGCGTGATTGCAATGGGCACGCTTCTGGGACGAGCAAGTGTTCACAGGGTGCTCCGATGCCGGGCTAGACGTTTTGCGCATGTTGGCAATGGGGCGTGAGTGCAGTGGTTTAGGCGCCAAACCCTCAGGGGGCCAGCAGCCGTGAATGGTGCTACGTAGAGCCGCAGGTTCGCATGTGCCTTTGCGTGAGACGTGGGGTTCTTACAATGATTTTCAGTGGGCGGGGCAAATCGGAGCCATGGAGATATTGTGGTGGGCAGCGTTCGGGGCTCTTGTCGTGTGGCATTGCAGCTCTTTCTGTGTCTCAGCGCCAGGATGGCTTGTCGCCCATGTGCGATGGCGATGTTTGCGCAGTTGTGGACTATGAAGAAGTTCGTGTGGCCGCTGTTGCAGCTGCAGACGAGAAGGTCAAGCAAGTGCGAACTGATGTGGCAAAATTTGGTCAAGCCCAGCGAGCCGCTGAGACCGATGTGAGTTTTGGCTTTGACAGTGTGTACAGGTACCGCAAGAAATGCAGCGCACTGTGACGCGCGCGACAAACCTATAGTGCCCCATGCAAGGCGTGTTTCAGTGGTGACAAAAGCGTGCTGCCACCTGCCAGCGGCAGCGCGTTCGAGTAGTGTCGCAAGGGAGAGCTACAGCCTCAAAGCACAGTCCGGCTAATGCTGGGCAATTCGATGTTCGATTGACGGGTTGAAGACTTCCCCCTTGTTGCTGCGGAGGCGGCCTAGCCATGGTTTTGACTTGCATGTCCAACTGACCTCGTCGTATAGGGTCAGTTGGACTCCAAAAAAGCACTAAAACTGTTCAACTGGATTTCGCCAGGAAACGGCGCCGGATGCAGATGCTGCGGGTGCACCGGCCAAGGAGGCCTTCGAAGCTGTTGGAAAGGAAGCGGAATCTGAATTGTTGAGGTGTTGTATGTGTTTGTATGTTTTTTTCTCTAGGGCTCCATGTGGAATAATGAATAGGCAGGTGTGTGCTCAGTGGGTTTCAAAAAGTTTGAGCACTGGCCCTTGAACACTATTTGGTGCGTCAAAAGCACAAGTCTCATTTGGCACGAAAGACGTGCAAAGCACAAGTCCCATGACATGTGTGTCCAGGGTTTTCTCATGCATGAAATCTACTTTCTCAGACATGAGGAGTCACCAGTCACGGGTGTATTCGGTCGGTTGGTGTGGGCCGCGTGCAGTTTTGTGAGGAACCAAGGAGGATAATTTGCTTAGTCCACAACAAATGTGCCCGACCGTCCCAGACACTCCATGAGGCTGGCATATGTGCTACATTTAGGTGTTTTCAGGGGTCACTGTATAGGCATATATGACATGGAGTGTACATGGGTGTTCCCATGTCCACCATTCAGTTCCTGCCGGCTAGAAGTTCCCATTCCTGCCCAGTTCCGTATGTGCACCAGCCGCCAAAACCGAAACTGCTGTTAACGGTAGCAGCTGGGTGTCCACCGGTCAGCCGCCAAAGTCGTTGAGATCCCACGGGTTTTTTGGGGTCACTTCGATCCTATCGAGGTCACTTATAACTGAAAGAGAGACTCCAAAGAGGTCACTGACTGAAGATCTTTCACCGGGCGGAAAGTCCTTCAGTTCACCTGATTTTTTTCCGCCGCAACGGCGGCACTGGACCTTCACTGGACCCGTGGAGTTCGAGGCCAGAAGAGATGTGCAGGGCACTCAGACAACCCCACGACGGAGGGTCCGACTTGGGACGTCTTTGGGTAAGAAAGATGTGAACAAACTCATATAGATCACATCGCGTGGGGCGTGGTCCCCAAATAGATAGACACGGTTATTTAAAAATACATTTCCGAACGGGATCTACTTTTAATCTTTGGAGGTCTCTATACTCCCGAGCGCCCACTTTTGGGAGGACCCAGGGTGTTTGGTCTTTGGAGGTCTCTATACTTCCGCGACCATGTGGTTTGCCTGGACGGCCTCAATTGGGTGACAAGAGGTCTCATCACTTAACCGGTGAGAAGGTTTGAAATCACTCACCTCACCAACTTGCGATCGTGTTTGAACGAGAATTCACAGCCCTTCCACAGAAAACGGGATCGGTATATAATGCAATGAGAAACATTGGTCAGACATTCTGGCTGAGTACCCACAGCCGCTTCTAAGAGTACCGCGCTCTACTTCTCTCTCTCTGGAGCCCTGATGACCAGCCTGGTGGAGCGGAAACGTTGGAGACTTCAGTCCCCAGTCACCGACCGCGGGCGATTCACATGCCCCCGAGGGACCGGGTGTGACAGGGGCACTCCCGATGCAGCGCGACGGTGTTTGAACGGCCCGGTGCATGTTGGTGCTAAAGAATCGTCGGACTGGACTTAAAGACTACGACTTCCAGGGCCTGGATACGATATCCATGGACCATATCGGTCAGGTGGCCTGGCACCTGGATGATGCGATCAGGTGGACCTCAAGATGGTCCATGCCAATCATCCCAGGGTCCCAGACCATTTACAAATTAGCCCCTGAAATCAATCCATCAACCACCCCAAATGCATGCAGGGCACGATGCCAGCCCCACATTGGGCGGTCGCGTCGGCACGATGCTCCCGTTCGCCTGACCGGTTCATGGTCCCCCCAGGCGCGACGTGACGCATGTCTCCGCGTGACACCCAGAGCGGAGCGTTCGCCCGGGTGGAAGACAGCGGGTCTGAGGCAAGGTTCGAGGGTGTTCCACAGGGCGATTCAGGTGTCAAAGTCGGTGGGGAGATGGATTCAATTCTGGATACAGCCTCCTTCCGCGTGGCCGCACGGTGGACATCACATCGGGTGCCGTCACGCAGAGGTGCTGGACCTTCTGCGTCGGCAGCAGGCTGTTGAAAAGGAACAAGAGGAGCAGTCATTGTGTGCATCAGTGGCGTGGTTTCATTGTGTGTGTGTGTCTTTCAATCTTATAATGTTTGGGGAAGCTTGCGGCTTGGAGAATGGATTTCCCAACCAAAAAACGACTCATTCGACGGAGATCGAAGACGGATCGGGCGTGGCCCCAAAGATCGGGTCTGGATTTGGACGCCAAACCCAGACACGACCCAGACGGGACTGCCAGTCCGGACTGCCGAGAAACGGCCAGGGGTGGTGCCGGGGGGGTCAATTGATCGGCATATATGGCAGTCCCATGGAGTGTCTGGGAATGTTATGAAGGTGCACATGATTGCAATGTATATTTATTCGACGGACACGAAAAACCCATGTGTTTCGGACTTGGATGTTAACTTATAATTCCTGCTTTAAGGGTGTCCGTTCCGGCATCAGCCGTGGTGAAACAGCCTATGTTGTGCCAACGCATGGCACTGCATGTCTTGCACTGCATGTGTCTTCGCTCCGAAGAAGTGAAGCCGAACCACAAAGGGTTTTCGCGATCGGACGCCATGACGGCGGGCGACGGGCGTCGGGTGATGGTCCGGTCTATTGGAACGCCGTGGAACATGGCCGTGCATCATGGTTCATCCGTTCATCCATCTTCCAGGTGGACACCGAAACGAGCAAACAAACATGCATATGAAATCAAGATACCAGCACCTCCAACAGGTCACCAATTGAAACCTGTTAGGGCCTAACAAACCTCCAAAGGAGACCTGTTGGAAGGTGCTGGTATGAACACTTCTTCCTCGAAATGTCTGGAAGCTTTAGCCAGAGGCCAACAGGACCGACCACCTGCATGTGACTGGTGACCCAGGACCTAGCTGCCAGCTACACCCTAGCTACGCCACCGGAGTCTGTCGCCACCGGCGTCGCTCGTCGCTCGCGCCCCGGCGCCCCGGCCGCGCCGCAGGAGGTCGCCGAGGCTCGGAGGAAAGAGCAGAGGTGACGAGCACGGCGTCGGTTGTGTCGGTCGTGGTTGGACCATGACTGGAGGGGCGAAGCAATGAGTTGGGAGGAGAATCCGAATGAAGATCAACACTGGAATTTTCACGCGAACAAAGGGGTGTGATGCATGATTTTCCCGGGTTGAATCCCCAAACCTAGGGAAAGGTGCTTTCCTTGTTTTGTTTTTGGGGGTTCCTGGGAGCAGCAAACCCAAGCGCTGACGCTCGCTGTGTGAGACACCCGTCGCTCTGCTGGGAGAGACACCCCGGGTGGGGACGTCACTTGACCGGGTTGGAACGGCGGTCGGTGTTCATATTTGAGCTACACACAGAGCTGGAGAACTGAGAATGCCCTGTCAAGCACCTGATTCCTGTCATCTCCAAGACAAATGAAGAGGAAGTTTGGAAGCTATGCCTTTTTCGATCTTGGCCACTTGGAAGTGCAAGGAACCCTCCCAAATCGTCCGGATCGGATGGGTATGTGGGCAGCGTCGTAGTCCGGATCTGGTGGAGATGTCACAAGAATCTGGACCATCCAATGGGTGTCCTGTCTGGAGATCCCGAGTCGTAGTGCAGGGTAGGGCAGGACACCCAGAACGAGTGGTCGTGGTTCAGTTCCGTTGTTTGGTGGGATTTCCCTCATAGTGGCTTGCCGGATACCGTATGTCATGGTATTTGATCACTTGATGCATCGCGAGGCTGCAAGCCCAGAAGCAAGAGGAAAGACGAGCCGAGGAGGAGCGACAAAAGCAGGCCCAGCAGGCACTCCAAATGCAGGCGCACCTGCCTTCGGGGGCCGCGCTCGCTCGGATGGGTCGCTCCACCCGCCATGTTCACGAGGAGGTCGGTCGTCCAGACCGAAGGCCGCGAGGGAGTCCGACGGTCGTCCACCAGGTAGGTCAAGTGGTTCGGCGTCCAGGTGCCCTGAGTCGTGGTATAGAAAGTTGGTGGATTCCCAGTGGGTTATCTATACCCCCAATTGGCAGTTCCAGTGCTTTGGGAAGTTGCACTCCAAAAGAGTCCATGAAATCCGTGGATGGAGAAGAAGTGGGCCGCGCGGCCAGAAAAGCATTCTCCGAGCTGCGATGTGTCAGGGCGTGTGACGGTGTTGTTCCAACCCAGACACTCCGGGGGACTGGCATATTTATATACATCGACCGCGACTTCAACCACCAATCATGTATCCCAGACACGACCTGTCTGGGCTACTGTACACCTCTCGGTGGTCGGAAGCGGTGAAGCGACGATTCCGATAACTGGTAGCATTGTAGCATCTAGTAGCAGTAGTTACGTTGCAACTATATATAAAGCTACCCTAAGAATCTGGGCCCTCAAGTGGAGGGTCCGGACCCACCCCTTGCCATGAAGGGCCCAAAAGATTCTCAGAAGAAAGAAATCAACTACCCAGACGCTCATGGACCCTCCTAAGTAGGGGCCGGACCCTCATATCGAGGGGTCCGGACCCTCAAATCCCTAGGGTTTCGAGGGATCAGTCGAGCTGTTTGGAGCGTCTGGCTAATTGTTGCTTTTGTTGACGGTCTTTTTGTAGTATATTGTGACGTTGGCGCGATGTTTCTCTTGAACACGACCCAGGCGTCCGACGTCCAACCTCCGCACGTCCAGGCTCAGTACCAGCAGATGCAGATGCAGATGCAATGGGCTCAACACGCCGAATTGCTTCAGTGGCTCGGTCCGGGAATGCAGTGAGATCAGCGGTGAAAGCCTGATCAGCTGGGAAGTATAGGAAAACCTATGAAAACCTTTAGGAAAACCTATGAAGTCTATATGAAACTTGCCAGCTTTTGCTTTTTGTGGAGGGGTTTTGGGCTTGGAGCTTGAGGGGTTTTGGGAGATCCCTAGACATGTCTCAATGGTTTTCCCTAGACATGGTGTGGTGAAGAAGTTTCTTCTTCAAGAGCGCGGGCATGGCCACATTTGTGAGCGGAAGATGCAGATTCTATATGAGACTCCCTTTGCTGGAATAGGTCGGCGAACATTGGTGAGATATTGCATGGATACAGTACAGTTGGCAGAAATCATGGATACATCTGTTTCGGGAAAAAAACATGATATCGATAGATGGACTTGTATCCATGTTCAGTTGTGTATGTGAATGCATTTCTGTCTTGGGACACCAAACGACCGTGATGTTCACGAACCTGGCTTGGTCCCTTCACGGCGTGGCTTGGCCAACACCGTTCGTTAAGGCCACGCCACCGTCCAGGTGGTCAATATGGATCCCAGACACCAGAAGTAATGCATGGGACTGGAATAGGTCATGTGCCGCCCCAAACCCCCATGGATTCCACCTATGTATCCCGTTTGGCCTCACAGGTCGCACCTTCGTTTCGTTTCGGTGGGACTGGGGGCCCGGGTGTCATGTTCGGGTCCAGTCATACCGATGGTGGTGAGGAGGTATAGCGTATGCAAAGATACGTCTGGAGTGTCTGGAGTATCTGGGCCATGTTGATTCCAGTTTTGGCAAATCATCCGGTCAGAAACGCTGATCCGCTCATCATCGCCACCCAAATCACCCAGGGCTGACCTGACAGACCCCGGGCTGACCTCCCGGGTGTGAGGCTGACCAGACCTGCTTTGATGAATGTGTTGCCCATTGTGGTTCTATCACCGTGTGTTACCCTTCAGAATCCTTCAGCACCAGTCGTCAGTGGAGCGGCTTTTGCTCGTAGCTGCACTTGGTGCTTCGCCTTGCCGAAGTCCAGTCCGACGAACATGAGCGGGAGCCACCGAATCAGTGTTCCGGACATGCCTGACATCGGAGTCCTCTTGAAAGTCAGAGTTTTTTTGAACTTACAGTGGTTTCAGAGTAGATGGCACAGACCCCAAGATGTCCTTTAGATGAGGGTCCATATAAAGACATGCATTGTTCCATGCTTTCTTGAAGAACATCTCCCGAACATCATCAAAGCCGACTGGACGCTCCGGACAGGACACTGAGCTCGGCTTTGAGCCACGGGTCTGTGATGCACCGGTAGTACTTGGTGCCAGACTGATGAGTTTTTGTTCGAGGGGGCTGATGTTTGTTGTGCAATTCTCAAATAATGTGGGTCTGTCCTATTACCTGTAACAGTCAGTAAACGGTTAAACAGTTAATCACCACTAACCATCATTCATCCCCTGATATATACCCAACAAATCCCAACAAATCATCGTCAAATCCCATCAACTCCTCCCCAGACCATCCAGCATAGACTTGATGATGGGCCCATGGATTTGTTGGATGGATTGGGCATGGGGTCATTTCATGGGGGTTACATGGATCGGTCACTCTTCCAGTCCCGGTCGGAAGATCACTCCCGTGAACTCGCTATTGGCTCGCTGAAGACTCTCCCTCCCCTGGCCTGCCCAACCATCTCAGGCGGCACCTCTTGGGCGCCTTTCCCGGTGCTTTTCCCGGCTTTCCCGGCGCTTGCGGCTTTGGGACGCACCAACCTCGGGGGGTGGACGGCTCGGCTCGGCTCGCCGCGAGTTGGTGGACGCGGGGCGATCCGACCGGGCTCGGGCTCGGGAGAGCGCAAGCAGGTTGAATTGGATGAAGGCTAGAGGCTAGAGCTTGATTTGGAGCTTGATTAGGCCTATAGAGCTTGATTTGGAGCTCAAAGCAGCTTGCTGATCGGCCCATTCAGCTCCAAGGCCCATGACAGCCTTGCAGGTGCGCGGCGGGGTTTGGTTTGCCCCGCCCCGCGCGGCGCGGTTTGAACGATGTACGTCATAAGCCAGACACTCCATATGTATATGCCATATGCCTACATTGACTGCTGAGATCACCCCAATGTATGGTTAAATACGGCATGACATGTTGTGTTTGGGTATTACAGAGCTGTATACGTGTTTGTGTCAGGACGCGGCTGGATGTGTGTTTTTCTTTTGCCTTGCATTTCGATGTGGTGAAAGATCCATCCCACGACTCTTTGGAAAATTTTACGCACCACCTGAGAATGTGAGAATCTTCCAGGGTCTTCCACCCATTGAATCTGTTTTGGGGTAGATCCAGATGTCTCCCGTTCTCACTCTTCCACGGTTGGCCTATTCTGCGGAGGCAGCTCCATCGGTGTGTGCATCTTAGTCGAGCGCGCCCACTCGACTCTCAACGAAACACCGGGCGCTTCGCAACCACACTCGATGTTTGTAGGGGCCCTGAAAACCATGAAAAACACAGGTTTTCACATATACAAAAAAAACATGCTTTTTGCTAGGGAACACCAGGTTTTTGATGGGCCCTTGGTGGATCCTATAGGTATTTGATGCCTCATTGACTCGTGAAACCCCATGAGCCTGAACTGATCAGCTGCCAGCCTCAGTGCCAGTCGCATGCCTGTCGTGTTTGGGCAGAAATGGCGAGGATGTTTTCAGGAAGACGTACGACGTCGCAGTTACGACGGAGTCACACATGGGCAATCCTATACGGGTACTTTCAACATCTGCGGACAGATCTTTGTCAAGTGCCAGTACCTATAGCTGAAGTAGGATGTGGAAGCGAGGGGCTTTTGATGAAACGACGCTAGAGAATATGCCGACCTCCTATCAGAAAAAAACCTTTGGTCAGTCTGCCGAACCTCTCAATGAATCGGTCGCTCCAACTTCGGCGCGATCTTGGGCGGCTTCTCTTCCGATGGTCCTTACAGTGCAGTCCGGATATGACTGCTTCGCTGGACCCGACTTCAAACTCATCCCACCCATTCCCACCCAGACGCTCCTGTTACAGACCTTTCCTGGTCCCTCAAAACCATAGGGATTTGAGGGTGTTTGGACCCTCCATATCAGGGTACCCCTACTTAGCAGGGTTCTTTACTGCGTCTAGGCAGTCAGAATGTGAAGTTGAAGCTTCATGTCGACTCAGAACCACTTGAAGACAAGTTGTTCTTCTTCGCTTCATGGCAAGTTGAAGCTTCGTTTGGGTGAGTTTGGATGTTCAAAAGCCACACAAATCACGTCCAAACGTGAAGGTGATTTGATTTCCTGTCCAAATCATATCCACTTTCATGTCTGCGCCTTGATGAGGCCAGCAGGACCAGTGCCCGGCGTGGTCTCGAAGGTGATGCGGAAACGTGCGGCATGTGGCGGTCGAAAGGGTGGGGGAGGCACCTGCGAGCCCTGTGGGGCCAGAGAGAGTTTTCGTCCACTAGCTACAGGAAAAGCCTACAGTAATTCCTGGAATCCTGATGGAGACCAACAGAAAACAGGTACGAAACAGCAAAATCCTAGCCAACAACAACGAGCAAGTCCCAAGGAGCGAAAAATCACCCCATCTCACATTACCTTATTTAAGAGGTACAGCCCAATTAAAGATCCTTAAAGCTCACATGATCAGTCCTGATCAGCCGTGCTCAGTCATGCCAGTCATGTATTTCATCACTCCTCCCAGCGCCGGAGGCATCGGCTCCACCGCCGAAGCCGGCCGACGCCGCGTCGTGCGGCACCCAGCGGCTTCGGCTTCACCGGTAGAAGCTCGGATGGGATGCCAAGAAGAAGAAGAAGGAGCAAGTCCCCTCGTTTGGAAGGACCGAAGGGTCGAAGATCAGCTTGTTTTGAATGGTTTTAACCACGTGGTTAGAGTATGTTAGAGTTCTTTTTCTTCTTGTTTCGAGTCCAAGAAACGATCATGTTCTCTTGATTAGAGGTTACAGTAATTCTGATTCTGTTTCTGGCGATTTTCACCCTCTTTACAGTGGTTTCAGAGTAGATGGCACAACGCCACAAATTTGGTCCATTTGCACTGTTTTGTGAGATAACATCATCAGGAGTGGGCATCAGATTTGTACTGATCAGCTTCCATCAGGCACTTGGAATGTGTGAAGTCATGAATCCGAGGCCGGCTGGCCCGGCGCAGGCAATTGATGGGAGCAAGGGATGTTGACCTGCAGAAAACCCTGAAAGATGTTCCCTTGAGAAATTGATTTCACCTCTTGGAGATGAACACAAATAAAAGCTCAATGTTATGAAGATAGCAATGAATATTTAGAGTTCTTCTTGTTGCATCATTGGATACCAATCCGGAAGTCTTGGCTCAAGCATCCTGAATCACGAGAAAGCTCTGAGAATAGCAGAGAAATTGACACAGGAATTGACTCAGGTTGACATCGCATGAAATTTTGTGTTTGAATCGTACAGGTCATTATTTCACAGGATGCCCAGATTGATCCTTGATAAGCAGGATCATCATGATCTATCATGACCCAAGCGAGTCCGAGACAAAGACAGCTTGACAGCTTGACAGCTTGCTAGCTCTGGCACTTGGATTCCAATAGGGACTATGATGCAATACATCAAACAGATCAACAATCAGCAAATAAAGAGAGCCTTCAGAGAGCTTATACCATCGTGCGCCCTGTTGTTGATCACATGATTTGCTAAGAGGCTAAGAACTTCGATGTTTGTCATCTTTGTTTTATGCGAGCTGCTTGGGTGGTGCGCCAGACCCAGTCACCTGCACGTGACATGGCTTGCAGAATGCTCCACCATGGAGGTGTGGCCGATGAAGGTACCAACCACCCTGGCGCCCTGCCTGGGGGCAGAGGGGAGAGACTTTGAGCTACTCTCTTGCAGGTGCATCTTTTGCTACTTCCATTGGTGGCTGCGGAGTTGCAAGGCAGAAGGGCTGGCGGCTGGCGAAAAACCATGGGGATGTTTGTTGATGAACAGCTTGATTTAAGCAAAGAAGTTGGTGCAGTTACGGAGTGATTCCTGTTTTAGCCCGGTTTTAACCACGGAATCGAGTTGCTCAATAGGCCCTAGGCCAAACATTAAGCTGATTTGTGAGTAACCCTGGAACAGCAACTCTCTGAACATCTCTGAACACGAATAGAACAAGAACTGAACATAAGTCAACTGTTCTACTATGAACTACTATTCAATATCAGTCCTTCGTTCCATATTCCCACAACTCTGCGTCACTCAGACACCTTGATTTATCCCACTCCGAGTGAAGACCCGGATGAATCGGTTTTAGGGCCGTTCCGAGCGAAACGCTTAGATCATATGATCACCAGCCAAGTTGCAGGACGGACCCGCGGTGCCCGGGGCGGCCGGCGGAACGGAGCGAGGGAAAGCGAGCGAGCGTCCTTTGCCGTGGCGTGGCGTGGAGCTTGTTCGGCTCACAGAGCTGCAAGGACTGTGTGATCAGAAAAAGTGAGATCCTTCAGTCCCTATACCTCCAGTCGTACCTCCAAACCACCATCGGTATGGGACCCGAACATGACACCCAGGCCCCCAGTCCCACTGAAACGAAACGAAGGTGCGACCGGAGACCAAACGGGTGAGATCCTGTGGCCTCGATCCTTGGATCCACCAACAGGAGAGCAGGAGAGCTGCTGCATCAGGCTTTTGGGGTCTTCTAGAAATTCGGGAGCTCGTTTTGAACGGTGAGATCATCACCTTCAGGCCACTCTCACCATTCATTGCCCATTGCATTAGCGTCTCAGACCGAAGAACACCACCACCTCCACGTGTTTTTTTCGAAGAAAGCGTCCACCGAAGCTTCACTCCTTCCTCCTCCCGTGGTCTCTCCGCGGTCTCCACACGGTCCAGGAGTTCCGGTCCAGCAAGTGGATTGGACCAGGCGTGGACGTTCGCAGCGCGCGCGAAGCTAGCCCCCCCGTTTCGGGACGTCGAGGGGTGCGGGCAGTCAGACGAGATGGGCTGTGCCACTGGGGACGAAGCGAACATATTTCTTTTTCGGCACAGTATATATACCAGGAGTCACAAAGTGGTGGTGTTTAGTCCCAGCCAGTGAGTGGATAATTCATGGGCACCCCGACTTCCTCCAAGTTCGGCACCCCGTCTTGTGAATGCTGGTGCTCGAGCTTTCTGTGGTGAAATGTTGAAAGAATGTTTGGACTTTCACGCGGATCACATGGTGAGTTGGAGGGTTTTTGGAGGTGGTATGTGTCCAAAAAAGCCTTCCGTATGCACAAGTCTTCACAAGATGTCCCTGAATTTGGGGTGTGAAGTATTTCTATATCCTCAAACGGTTTCATGGAGTGACTCGTCGAGAAGTTCGGACACTTCGGTTCAGAATACGTGGTGCCCCACGTTGGCAGATGTGAATGCACCCAGACTCTCCATGGGACTGGAATAGTTGTGAATAGAGTTGAAATACATTATATAACTATCATTGTATCATTATAATACTGGCCTGCTTTTAGAGAAGTTGATAAGTTGATTTCCAAAAAA